ATATATTTGCTAACTATGATATAAGCAATATGATGTAACTTTATTATTACATCGTCATCATATTGTGAATTGTTACACTTTTGCACAAACGCAGCTAGGTATATGTTACAAGAATGGAACTGGATTAGAAAAAGATATTGGAAAGGCAATTGAGTTGTTCCAAAAAGCAGCTGAAAAAGGACATGCATATGGACAATATAATCTTGGTTACTGTTATGAAAATGGTATTGGAGTAGAAGAAAGTGAATGGAAAGCAATTGAGCTATATGAAAAGGCAGCTGAACAAGGATATGTTAAGGCAAAAAATAAGATTTATGTTTTTCAATATTATGATAAATCTAAGTTAAAATGTAAAATTCAAGAGTTAAATAAGTTGTATCACATGAAATAAAAACAAGTAATTAGAATATTATTTATTAAAACAACGTTATTGTTATTGAGAATTAGGCTTTCAAGTTATTGTAAATGACAATAGTAAATAGTAAATAGGTTAATTTTGCAATTATCATTAACAATAAATAACTTTACAATAACAATAAAGCATGTATGCATTCTGAAACATAAAATAAGCTTAGCACTAGTACAATGTAACCCACTTTACTTAGTGTCATTCCAGAAAAAATAATAATGAATGTGATATGCTATAACTATGACTGAAAGTTATATACAGTTTATAAATATTACAAACCTTGCATATGTTAATACCACAAGTTGAAAATTAAATTTTCATGTGACCCCAGCTATCTCAATATTATGACATTTACTTTATTCATTTTCTAAATCTGCTTCTCATTTTCCCCTTCATTCTTGCGAGCAGCAAAAAAAAATTAATCATTAGTATTATTTTTTTTAGCTTCTTTTCGTATTACGTTTTAACGACATCATCAACGCATATTTTTCTAATTCCCAACTTGATAAAACGAAGCCCTACAATGAAAGACGCGCTTCATTATTTTTATCCTTAATTTTCTTGACAAAATTTCATTATTGTTACATGAATCAATTGCTTGGCAATGTCCGATCTGATGAATCGGATAAGCAAGTCAAGTGACAAAATTTTTCCACAGTCAAACAAAACCAGCTGCACCGTGTCAGGTGTAGGATATTGTCATTTTTTCAGTGTCAGTACAAACAGATTTACTAACTATTCTGCCACGATAATAAATTTTACTCGTTCTTTTCCGTGCGTGTCGGAAAAAGGTATATACAGTAGCTTACATTTCTTTGTTCGAAATACTCATACTTGATAAGACACATTGTGACTAATTATGTTAACTTATAGCTGTCATGTCTACGACTATTGACTATATAAACTATACAGCATCTTTACTCAGCAATGACCACTTATAGCTGTACTGCATAATCTAAAAACCGGGCGTTAAAACAATAATTAGCGTAGCGTACAGTTAAAGTATACTATTTGTTTTCGTAATAGTAGCCGTAACTTTACGTTCAATGTCATTGCTGACCATCAAAGTTACAGATGTTATCGTACATCGATTTCGAATAATTATGCGTTGCGATGCGTTTATTGTTGCGTACTCAATTCCACAGCACAGTAGGTGATTTTATCATGTCGTTTTATTCTGACATACGTATGTCAATTTAAACATAACTACATACAGTCATAATTTGCCTGTTTTTGATGTTTTTAAACTCAAAGAGTTTTATCTTACGCATTCGCATGTTAACCGCTGGTGACCGATCGAATATGAAACTACTCCACTCGACATACCGCAACAATAAACACATTTGTGTCCGCCAATATAAATTGTGCTAGCCTCCTTGTACGGAGAAAGCTTCCATTGCCAGCCTTCTTGTTGCCTGAAATTCCTTCGTTCGCTGCGCTTCAATAAACTATGACAGATTTTGCGCGACATGAATGAAATCATATGATATCTCAGAAACAGGTAAGTGTCGCACGAACAGTAAATAAGCTTTGTTTGTTGTGATGAAGAAGAGAAAGAACCAATGCAATGCTGCTACCAGATAATAGTATTGAATACCTATTATTGTTATAAGGGCTGCCGGACGTTCAAAAAATAAAGTTTCGTTTGTACTTCTGGACACAAAAAAGCCCCACAAATCCAAAATAAGCACAGATAAAAAGAATGTTCGTGTACGTGTGGCACTATTTTCCTGTTTCTCGGTGATAGAACTTTCCGTCAAATTTTATTGTTTTAAACACAAGAAAACAAAACAAATGAGCGCTTTCGGGTTCTGTCTCAGGTATATTATTCTTGTTTCAAGTTTTTCTTTAAATCTTAGTAGTTAAGGACATTATCAAAAGTAGATTGCTAAACAAATGCTTACATTTAAATATCCTCATTAAATAATCTGGTGGAGTTGGTAAGAGTTCTAATATAAAGCTAAAGGGTGCGCATTGTCAGTACAAATACAGTAATATATAGACAATAAGCCTATGCTTCGCTTGAATGTTTGGACACAGGCTTTCCTTTACGAGAATTACCCGACTTCCCGTGTACCACGTTCTCACTGTCCCTGCATCACACCATCGTCTATCCGTATCACAAGCTACACCCTCTCCAGAGTTTATAAAATAGATCCGCTCACCCGTGTTGTCATTATAGAACATCCGACTGTTCTAACTATTCATTTCCCAGACATCATTTCCCTGATTTACGATAATGACAACCATGTTCAAATCCCTCTTGCTAGTTGCGCTGTTGTTGTTAACGACGGTCGTTGCCTTGCCACCTTTCAATGGCGGCAGCGATAACACCCTCGCACCTCTATTATCTTACCCTAATGCTGAGCATATTCCCGATGAATACATCGTGGTATTCAAGGACGCAGTCACTGACGAAAGAGTATCTTGTCATCACAACGACGTTGATTCCTTGCTCTACGAGGAAAGAAAGATGTTCAAACGAGGGTTCATGAATGAATTAATTTCTGGTATTCAGCACACTTATGACTTTGAGGGTTTCCGAGGCTATTCCGGTAGATTCTCAGAAAGCGTGTTGGCCAAGATCAGACAGAGCGATGATGTACGTATCAAGATGGTGATCTTACTGTGCGCAGTTTAGAGTTGTTGCACAGATACCGTGCGCCGATTTCTGGATTTTCATTGATGCAATAGGTATCACAACTAACTCTTCTACCGTTCAGGTCGCATTTGTTGAGCGAAATCAAAGAGTATATCCCAGCATAATTCAAAATCAATCGCCATGGGGCCTTGCTCGTATATCTCATCGCGAACGTTTGGTACAATCAACATTTAGTACATACCAATATGATGCAACCGCTGGAAACGGTGTCACCGCCTACGTAATCGATACCGGAGTCAACATCAACCACACTGACTTTGGCGGCCGCGCTCGATGGGGTGCCAACTTCTCACCCGGTCAGCCCGATCAAGATCTTGGTGGACACGGGACCCATGTTGCAGGTACCATCGCTGGAACTACATACGGTGTCGCCAAAAACGCTCAGATTGTTGCCGTCAAGGTTTTGGGTCCACAAGGAGGTACAAACAGTGACGTTATCAAGGGAGTTCAATGGACTGTGGCTGATTACAAGAAGGCCGTTGACGATGCCAGAAGAGCAGGAAAAGTATATAAAGGCGCAGTCATCAATATGAGTTTGGGAGGTGGTAAGAGTAACGCTTTGGATAAGGCTGTTAACGAGGTTGGTATCACAAGAATAATCGATAAAGTAAAAGAATGCCGTCGCACTAATAATGATCTCGTGAAAAAAGGCTGTTACGGCTGGTATAGTCGTTGTTGTAGCCGCTGGCAACGAAAACTCTGATGCTTGCTTGGCATCACCTTCCGGAGCCGAAAAGGTAATCACTGTTGCCGCTTCAACGGTCGAAGATACGCGGGCTTGGTTCTCCAATTGGGGTAAATGTGTAGAAATCTTTGCACCTGTAAGTATATATGCCATTTATTGATTGTTTATAAGCAGCTTGCTATATACTCAATATCTTAACGTACTCGTGCGTTATCAGGGCAGAGATATTACGTCAGACTGGATTGGTTCTAATACTGCTACAAACAGAATCTCTGGAACCTCTATGGCATCTCCTCATGTAGCTGGTCTTGCAGCTTACTTCCTTGGTTTGAGCGCGATTCCGCTAACGCCAAAGCAAGTTCTTGACAAGATTGTCAATACGGCTACACGTAATGCTCTTTGTGAAGTCGCAAATAGTCCCAATCTTTTGGCGTACAATGGTTTTGCGTAGTAGAATTTAGGCTGTTCTGTGTGTAAAGTACTCATGTGGTCTTTATAATAATAAAGATAGTATTTAACTCTGTATATGTGTGCTCTGTGTGCAAACTGAAGTGTCATTTGCTGTAATTTGCGTCAATGTGCGTCTAATATTGACATTTGGTTTCTTCGATATAAATACAACTACGCTAAATTGAGCGATTATAGTGTGTAGCGAGCATTGTGAATTATAGTTTAACGATAATATAATTTGTCTCCATAATTTCTTCGATGGCTTAACTCATTCGAAACTAGCTAATTTTTTTCAGACTCGGCAAAAGTCTGGATAGGCAAATCAGATGTTATTTTGTGATCTTGACATACATAGTTGGTACACTTGCGTCCGGCAAGTTTTATTTGGGGTTACATTATCATTAAAAGAGTGGTGGTGATAGATCTTCGACGGATTGATACATCGATAAGCAGTGAAATGAATCAAGGATTGGTTTTAAACACTTTGTTCAATCGGAAGATTCAAGAAAGCTTGGGTTAACTTTTATCTACAGGATTCTTGTGCTCTAGTCACAAAGCAGCTATTACGTTTTAAATAGTATTATCCAATATTAGTGTCAAATGAAAGCAATCATGATGAAGAATTGAACAAGCTAATTTTGCGACTACGTGGATCGTTTTGGGAGAAGTATAAAAACAATGTTAGGGAACGCGAAACCAACTGAAATTGACAATGAAGCTTAAACTGACCAGAACGTAGTTACGCATTTTTATTCAGTATCATA